TCTTATTGAGCATAGACTTAGTAATTTGCATATATTTAAGAAAATAAACTTTTGTATAAACTTTAACAGCACTTACCTGGTAGTCGGCGAGGTGTGAGCGTGGTGTGGTCGATTTTTCCTGAAAATTTTCTTTCTGAAACTCAAAATTTTAGTATACAGAGCGTTTGAACTTTAGCTCTGATACCAACTGTGACACCCCGCTCATCAGAGTAAATTTTTCGCAACTTATTTCAAAAATACTTATAAATTTTTCGAAACCTTCTTAACTTGGGATGCTACTAACTTATCTACTTTAAAAATCTGTTTACTTAAACTTCATCTAACAACTAAGTTATACATAAATAAAACATATTTTAATCATTGAACAAATATAAAAACTTAACAGTTCATACAATTAACTTGATAAATCAACCTTTAAAATCACACTTAAAATCACACTTGTTCAAATCTTGAAGAAAAGTAGCGGAAATCTTACAAGCGTGGTTTATAAACCGAAACCTTATTGAAAATTCTCAATAAAAACTTCAACAAATACACGACCACCACAGCTCCTCACACCTGCGCACCGTCTTTATTTCCTGAAAAATGATAATAGTGGGGTGTGAGTACTAATCAACTATACTCCGTAAAAACCCATACTAAAGTAAACAGCAATAATAGTATCAATATCATGATCTTTGGTATGTATCTAAGCTTAATCTTTCGGTATCTAACCGATACTTTAACTTGAACTTTGCAACTACCTGTAACTTGGGCCGGTTCTCACGTAATCACATTCTGGGGGTCGCCTCCCACAGAACCCAGTCTTGACTGAGCGAGCTTAATACTTTACTTAACTTTATACATACCTCGACATGATAATAGCTATTATACTCAATGTAATACCCAGTCTGGGTCCCCACCTTTTTCTTGAAAAACTGTTTGTAAGTGTTGTTCTCGTAGCCGACTTGTAAAGCTTCATAAAAATATAAACAAATATACTAAGTACTATGCTCGAATACTCAATAAGATATTGAGATTCTTAACTTTAACTGATAACTTTTAACTTATCCGAATCTAGCCAAAATGCTATAGCTCAAATAATCATAATACTTCTAATAACTCAAACTCTTAATAAATCATCATTTGATGCCAAAACTTTATATAAATCATGCTTTCTAAATAATAGTTTATAAACTTGCAAGTGAAAATATCGAACACATGCTCTTCAAAATTTCACATTAATTATTATAATGAGAAATTTCATACTAAATTCATATTAACATGCTTTATCTATAATTTTAGTAATTACTCCATTCAACTCATTTTAAGTTTAACTTTAACATATGTATTCTCAACATATATATAAAGTTACCATAAAAATTTCACTTTAAAATAATACTCATATATTTAGATATATTATTTCAAAGTTGAAAATATAACAAAATATGCAATTTGCTATCATACTTTGTCTTTGAAAAAATCTATTTCTCATGCTTCAATTATTTAAAAAAAATTCTAAAACTTTAAAACATAAGTCTCAACTAAATCAAGAAATATCCTGTAAATTTTCTCATAAAAATAATAACCATAAAGGAAGATATGAATTTCCAAATAATGCTTCTCTTGTTGAAATTCGAGATTTACTCACTTATGTTCATTATTTTCTATAGCATGCTAAACAACTCCAATAAATATAAAATTTAAACTGGAAGATCTTAACTAATATATGAATTGACCATAAAATTCTCAACTCAAAATAATATCAATAGATAGGGTAATTTTATATCACAAGTCATCATTACTACACAGATTTTTCACTGAACAGCACCTTAATCAATGATTTTTATAAAATTCATTTTAACTTCAATTAATCTAAAACTTTCCAGTAATACCCTTAACATAATGATGATCTCATATAAAAATTTTCATAATTTTTAAAATTTAATAGCTTGGTCAAAAACGAACAAACATAGGCAGCTGCAACATAAACTTTAAATAATCTTACTTTATAATCTTATTATATATATTTATATATATAAAATTTATAATTTCTAACATGATAACATATCAAAAACACATATAAATACTCATAATTCTTAGATATACTTGATGATATTAAATTTGAAGACATACCTCTTCTACTCTTAAGAAAAGAAACTTGCTCCAAACACTTCTCGAAATTGCTCGGTTTCTCTCTTAAATACTCGATTCTCACTATTTCTCTCTTATAACATAAATTCTGAATTTTTGAGGTGTAATACTAACATTGAAGAATGCTCCTATTTATAGGAAAATTTTAGGGGACAAGCATCTCCAAATTTCAATTTAATATCATTTAAATACTAATTTCTACAACAAATATGCTAAAAAAATGCCCCACTCTTAATTTTTAATTTAGTTGACTAATATTATTAAATTTTTCAGCTCAATAATTGTATAAAATAACATAAAATTGAGTCATCATTAATATAAAAATTAAGATGCTTCAAATGATGAAGATTCTACAAAATAAAATAATTTCCACAATTTATTTTTATTTTTATTTTTAATTTCGAATTTTCTAATAAAATCAGAAAATAATTTTCAAAAATTATTTTTAACTTATATTAATATCTCTCATAATATATAAATCATTTACAAATGATTTAATGAGGAAAAACATGCTTAAGAAAAATAACATAAACACTTTTATTTTTCTAATAATAGCATAAATTGTGAAAATTCACAATTAATTAAAATTATGCTATTCTTAATATTTAAAAAAATCCATAATAACTAAATTTTTATGTTTAATAAAATTTAGATATCAATAATAAAATTTTCGGAATCAAATCGGACTTAAATTCCCTTTACGATTGAAAACCGAAGATTTTATTATAATCTCTACTGTTCTCGATTATGAATTTTAACTTAATCTTGAAATACTTTACTTATTATCTATACTCAGTTAATTACTCTTACTGATTTACCTTATAACTTTTTACTGTGGTAAATAACTTTTACTACGGCAAATAAATTTTACTGCGGTAAATAAATTTTTACTGCGGTAAATAATTTTTACTGACTTACTAAAATATGGGGTATTACCATGACTACAACGCCGGTAGTCGCCATGCCAAGGTTCGATGTCTTGTCCGAGGTACACACAGATGCAAGTGATATTGGAATTGGGGTTGTGCTAGTGCAAGAAGGACGACCCCTAGCTTATCTCAGCAAGGCTCTAGGCGCAACTCGATTGGGATTATCTGTGTACGTGAAGGAGATGTTAGCAGTTGTCGAGGTTGTACGATGCTGGAGGCCTTACTTATTGGGGCGTCGATTTCGGATTGTGACCGACCAGCAGCCGCTTAAGAATCTACTCGAGCAAAGGATTGTTACCTCTGAACAGCAGAAGTTTGTCTCGAAACTAATGACATTCGACTTTGAGATAGTCTACCGGCCAGGTCGACATAATGCTGTAGCTGATGCCTTATCCCGACGGACAGATGTAGCTGAGCTTGATGTTATTTCTGGACCAACGTGGACCATCTGGGAGGAAGTTAGAAAGGCGCAAGAAGGGGATACTTATTGCAAAGAAGTGCGCCGGAAGATCGAGACACGAGAAACCATTGCTGATTATGAGTCGCACAATAGCCTACTACTACATCGAGGCCGAGTATTTGTTCTTGACAGTGGATAGCTACGCGAGAAGGTCATGCAACACTTCCACGATTCTAAGATTGAAGGTCATTCGGGTATCTACCGTACATGGATGAGGATAGCCAATACATTCTTTTGGCCAGGTCAGCAGGGCAAGGTTCGGGATTACATGGCGCGATACGACGACTGTCAGCGCACTAAGGCTGATTCACGCCGACCAAGCGGGCTGCTGCAACCACTACCGATACCCGAAGCAATTTGGGAAGACATCACTATGGATTTCATTGAAGGTTTGCCGAGTTCTAATGGGTTTAACAGAGTAATGGTCGTAGTGGACCGACTTACCAAGTATGCTCACTTCATACTCATTACTCATCCCTACACAGCCAAATCTATTGTCAGGTTGTTTGTCGAATACGTGATGAAGTTACACGGAGCTCCATGATCCATAGTTTCCGACCGAGATAGGATCTTTATGAGCAGCTTTAGGTCCGAATTCTTTAAGCTGCAGGGGACCAAGCTATCCATGAGCTCAACATATCATCCCCAAACCGATGGGAAAACTGAGGTAACCAACTGAACCCTTGAGCAATACCTACGGTGCTATGTTCATCAATTTTTGAAGAGGTGGGAAAACTTTCTGCCCTGGGCTGAGTACTGGTACAATACTACCTGACATGAGTCGACCACGATGACTCCGTTTGAGTTGGTGTATGGACGTAAACCGCCAACGCTGATCAACTACTCAGAAGGAGGCACGGTCAACGATGAAGTGGGTCGTGAACTCGAGGAGCGAGATTTGATGTTGCGGGAGTTGAAGAAAAATCTCGAAGGCTCGATTAATCGAACCAAAGCTTTTGTAGATGGAAAGCGACGAGAGGAGAATTACGCACCAGGCGAGTATGTCTACTTGAAACTACGACCGTTCAGGCAGCGCACGACAGCTCAAAGGGCGGCAACTAAGCTAGGAGTGCGATACTATGGGCCTTATCAGATTCTGAAGCGCATCGGTCAGGTAGCCTACCGTTTAGAACTACCTGAAAGTTCTCAGATCCATCCAGTCATACATGTCTTTCAGCTTAAGAGAAGTTTAGGAGAAGCACACAAGTGGTGCGAAGAATTACCAGCAACTGCGACTGATGGAAGGGTCATAGTACGACCAAAACGTGCAGTGGAGTACAACAAAGTCAGGAAGGCTGGACATTACTGATGGGAGGTACTAATCGAAT